TTCAATCTATATGCTGAACAGTTCAGGAGGCTGGACTTTATGGAAAAGAAAATGTCATCAGGATTTAAGAAAGACCCATCAACAATATGTGTTATGCAGATAGCACAGACTTGCTAGCAGAAACTGAGGAAGACTTAAAAGCATATGCTGTAGAAGATCAAGGCTTACTGCCTTCAGTTTTGATTGCTTCTCAACATCAAGAAAACTAAGATCCAGAACAGTGTGCTAATAGGCAGCATTATGATAAAGGAAAGACTGAGGTTCTTAACAATTTTATCTTGCTTGTATCAACAATAAATACCTCTGGCACTGGCAGTCAGGAAGTCAAAAAATGAGTTGCACTGAGAAAATCTGCTATCAAGGACATCTGCTGAGTATTAAAGTACAATAATGTCAGTCTAAAAACTAACGTACATCTAGACATGGTGTCCTCAATTGCTTTTTATGATCTGAGAATTGAACAATGACTAAGGATGACAGAAGAATTGTGGTGTTGGAGAACTGGACTAAAACCAAGGATGACAGAAGAATCAACAGAGGCAAAGATTTTGAAGCTTTCTCTCACATATTTTGAGCTTACTGCTAGGGGGAACTAATCCTTGGATAAGGACAGCATGCTTAGAGGGGTAGAGTGTCACACAGAATAAGAAGACCTTGAATAAGTTGTACTGGCACAGTGACTATGGCAATGAGGTCAGGTGTGTCAGAGATGGTGAAGCTGACTCAGGATAGGACGAAGTTTAGAGGTATAATTCTTAGAGTCAGTATAAATTGTGGTCAACTCGATGGCACATAACAACAACATCATTTATTTTAATGAAATAAAACAATTGAATTGCTTATTTCCAAAAAGCAAACAAATTTCATTTTATTGGTTAATATATACAAAAATTTCTAGGAAACAAAATGTAAAATATATGTAATTAATTTATAACTGAACAGTCATACATGCAGAAAACATTAAGCTACATGAGATATGTTGAGTTCTAAGAGGTAGTTCCTTAACCCCAAGGTGCTCAGAATCTGGAAAAAGAGATTAGTATGTAAGTATTTGTTGTTGTTGTTGTTGTTGTTGTTGTTGTGTACTGTAAGGTCAAAACCGACGCATAGCAGACCCTCCAGAGGATTTTCAGAGGCAGTTAATCACACAGGAGGAGACTGCCTGTCTTTATCCCACAGAACAGCTGGTAGCCTTGAACTGTGTCCCTTTAGGATTGCAGTGCAACTTCTTACCACTAGGCTACCAGAGCTCCCTTAAGTATGTTGTTTTTGTTGTTGTTATGTGAATCAAGTCACTTGAGACTCATAACGACCCTATGTACAACAGCCCTAAACTCTGCTTTGTCCTGTGCCAATTGCACTGTCTCCAATACACCCATCCCGATTACCCCAGTCACTGAATAGCTAACTAATAAATAGACAAATAAAGGAGAGAAGTACCATATAAATTAAGGAGTTGAGAAAAATGCTATAAGGAAAAGTAACAAAATGTTTTTGTTGTTGGTATGTGCTGTCCAGTTGACCCCAATTTATACTGAACCTAAGAACAACAGCTCTGAACCCTGCTCTATCCTGAGCCAACCTTATTGTCTCTGACACATCTACTCCCATTACCCCAGTTATTGAATCAATCCATCTCATCAAGGGTCTTCCTCTTTTGAATTGTCCCCCCAAGGATGATGTGCTTCTCCAAGGACTGTTCCCCCCCCTTGCAACATGTCCAAAGTATGTCAGACAGACATACTTTAGAATCCTTGCCTCCACAGAGAAGCCTGATTTCACTCTCTCCAGAAAAAAAATCTGTTGTTCTCCTAGCAGTCCACGGTATATTCAATTCTCTTCTCCAGCACCACAGCTCAAAGGCATCAATTCTCCTTCTATCATTCCTAGTCACTGTCTAGCTTTCAGATGCATTAGCAAGTAATTGAGAAGACCATGGCCTGGATGGATCAGGCTCACTTTATTTAGTCTCCAGATTGACACTGTTGCTCTTCAGTACTCTGAAAAGGTCCCTGACAGCTGACTTTCCCAATGCAATTTGTCTTTTGGTTTCCTGGTTGCTGGTACCAAGAGTGTTGATTGTGGAGCCAAGCAAGCTGAAGCTGTTAACAATCTCAATCTCTTTACCATCTGTCATGATGCTGCCAATCATCGGTCCAGTGGTGAGAAAGTTTCTTGATGTTGAGTTTCAATCCATATTGAAGCCTGCAGGCCTTTACCTTCTGCAGAAAATGCCTCAGGTCCTGCTCAGTTTTGGCAAGCAAGGCTGTACCATCT